TTGTTCTTGAGTACGATTGAAGAGAGATACGAACTATATTCATTCCACTTGGCCGACTTAGGCACATCTATTTCTTGGGGGATGTATAGGCACGACTGTGCCACAACATTGTTATAACACAGAGTAGCACATCCATACAGTAAACAATCCGGCACATCCATACAGTAAACAATCTGGCACATTCATACAGTAAACAATCTGGCACATCCATACAGTACACAATCTGGCACATCCATACAGTAAACAATCTGGCACATCCATACAGTAAACAATCTGGCACATCCATACATATAGTAAACAATCTGGCACATCCATACAGTACACAATCTGGCACATCCATACAGTCAATAATCTGGCACATCCATACAGTAAACAATCTGGCACATCCATACATATAGTAAACAATCTGGCACATCCATACAGTAAACAATCTGGCACATCCATACAGTCAATAATCTGGCACATCCATACAGTAAACAATCTGACACATCCATACAGTAAACAATCTGGCACACTCATACAGTAAACAATCTGGCACATCCATACAGTAAACAATCTGGCACATTTATACAGTAAACAATCTGGCATATCAACTATAAAAATGTAATATTGGGGGAGGGGTGGGGGGGGGGGGTGGCACCTCTTTTCACGTTAAAACGTGTGTGTGTGTGTGGGGGGGGGGGGGGGGGGGGGGGGGGGTTGGGTGAACTTTCTTTACTATATTAAAAACTTGTGTGTGTGTGCGTAGGGAAGAAGGGGGGGGGGGGTACCTCTCATTACTATGTTAAAACATGTGTGTGTGGGGGGGGGGGGGGGGGGGTTGGATACGCCTCTTTTGACTATGTTAAAACATGTTTGTGTGGGGGGTACCTCTCTTCTCTACACATGTGTGTGTGTGTATGGGGGGGGGGGGGTACCTCTCTTCACTATGTTAAAATGTATGTGTATGGGGGGATGCACCTTTCTTCACTATGTTAAAACGTGTGTGGTGGTGGGGGGGAGGGGGGTAAATGCACCACTCTTCACTGTGTTAAAACATGTGTGTGTGTGTGGGAGGGGATGCACCTCTCTTCACTATGTTAAACATATATGTGTGTGTGGGGGGTGGGGGGGGGGGGTGCACCTCTCTTCACTATGTTAAAACATGTGGAGGCATCTTACTTTCTAGAATCAGAAGTTTAACAACAGATTCGTGACAACTGCCGCTCAGTTTTTTATACAGATGACTCTGTATTGAGAGGCAAAAGAAGGCCAAGGGGGCTCACTGCAAAAGCGAATGAATGTCGCTCAGTGCAACAAAGCCAGGCTGATACCAGAACATCTGGTTTGAGAATGGAGGTGGAGGCATTCACCACAGCCTTCCAGTAGTAGGAGAACCAGCCGTATGCATACACATGTCCTTGCTGAAACTGACCCAGAGACCATGGCGGGAAAGGTTGAGACAAGTATGCTCCATGCAGATTGGTTGTCACTGCTTAAGAGGTCCTAGGTAGTTAGTATCCTTTGGATATTTTCTTCAGGTCATGTAGGTGCGTTGGGAAATGGAAAAGCAGTAAACTGGCTGTACCTAAGGGTACCTGATGTAGAACAAGCTGGATGTTGTTGTAAGGGCCTTCTGGGAGCAAGTGAACAGTCAAGAGGCACACACAAATCAGGATGGTCTGAAGATAATGATGCAGCGTGGAGTGATCTATGATCTGGCCAACGCTCAAAACTCAGGAAAAAGATAAGATGGACATACAACCAGACTGTGACTGGTACCATCAACAATCAGGGGAAAGATAAGATGGACATACAATCAGACTGTGACTGGTACCATCAACAATCAGGGGAAAGTTGAGATGGATATACAACCAGACTGTGACTGGTACCATCAACAATCAGGGGAAAGTTGAGATGGACATACAACCAGACTGTGACTGGTACCATCAACAATCAGGGGAAAGTTGAGATGGACATACAACCAGACTGTGACTGGTACCATCAACAATCAGGGGAAAGTTGAGATGGACATACAACCAGACTGTGACTGGTACCATCAACACTCAGGGAAAAGATAAGATGGACATACAATCAGACTGTTGCTGGTACCATCAAAATTGTAACTCTGTTCTTGCTGCAGAAGATGGAGACAGCTGTTACGGACGTGTTCCAAGTAGTGTGATGTCAGTTCTTGACTTTCTGGCTGTGGCAGATGCACAGCAATATTCACTATGAAATATTTCCTATGTATGCTCCAATCATTAAGTTATGAAAAACAGGAAGAAAAAGTGATTATTGTCTTTCAATCGTTAGGCCAGGAAAGAGGTCACTTTTGCAGACATCAGGAGAAGATTGTGTCTCCTCAGAGAAATGTACATAAACCACAACATGCCAGCGTAGGCCATCTCAACTCCAGCTGTACAGTGTTAGGAATCAACCTTTCACAGACCACAACATGCCAGCGTAGGCCATCTCAACTCCAGCTGTACAGTGTAAGGAATCAACCTTTCACAGACCACAACATGCCAGCGTAGGCCATCTGTACTCCAGCTGTACGGTGTCAGGAATCAACCTTTCACAGGCCAACTGTGAATGCCTCAATCCAGGCTTAGAGTTATGTTATCACAATCGACGTCACTGCACACTGGACATTCCAATGCGTGATCAGTCCTCCAATGCAGCAGCCACTCCAAAGTACTTCTACTAACTGTTCACATGAGAAGCTGGTTATATTGTCTCCTATCTCGGCCTCGAAGACGGCATAGACATGCTTCACCATGCTTTACTCCCATGTCACGCAATCGTGTCAGTGTCAGGGATTCCTCATTATCCACTAGCCCAGTCCGTACAGCGTTGACGATATCTGCTCTGTCCATGCTTCCTTCCACATGCCTTAGTGCAGTGCTTGCCAGTTGGTCCGCTCACTCATTTCCCTTTACGCCCACATGACCTGGTGTGTAGATCCAGGTTACAGAGGTTAAGTGCGATTTCCGAATGCTTTCTATCCATTCAGAGCGCATACTGCCTGTTGCTATCTTCTGAAGCATATTCATAGAGTCTGAGACAATTACTGCCTGTGTGGCGGTTTGCTCAGATACCCATGCTAAAGCTCTAGAAGTAGCAGCTATTCCTATTAGGGCTGTACCGAATATTCACTTCGTATTCGCTTCGGGGCTGAATAGTGGATCAAACAACTATTCGGTATTCGGCCGAATAGTTGCGGTCGGGCCGAATACGAATTGTGGTTATCTTACACCCGTTTCTACATACACTGCTATGGACTAAAATAACTCTCTCATTAACACAAAAGTTGCTGTTGCCTATGTCGGTTGCGCTGTACAGCAGCTGGCAAGGTCTTTGCGTGCTAACTCGACCAAGGCATTACAGCAGAGGTTCTCAAACTGGGTGCGTATGCCAGGTGTGCTGCGGCGAAAATCAAGGAAAGTCGGCTATAAATTGTGACATTATTAAAGAAGGCATGAAGATACTTAAAAAGTACAATTTAAATTGTCTTTCCTCGCCACTGTCGAAAAGAGGACATGAGACAGGCAATAACTGCATTTATAAAATAAAGTACATCTTATGCAATATATCTTTGTCATTGAAGGTTAGAAAAAGAATTCTTGCTTGCTACATACATCCAGTTTTAACATATGGTTGTGAGTCCTGGACAATTTGTAGGCAGGCCAAACAATTTCTTGAGGCCTCAGAGATGTGGTTTTACAGAACAATGCTTAAAATACCTTGAACAGCCAAACAAAACACACAAAAAAAAGCAACCAAGAGCTTTTGAAAGAGGCGGGAGCCCGAAGACAACTAACCACAGACATCAGAAGGAGACAGTCATCATTTTTCGGCCATGTTATGAGCAGAGGGAAAATGGAACATGTGGTGACAACTCGAAAGATTTGTGGAAGGAGGGATAGAGGAAGACAACGAGAGAAGATTCTTGACAGTCTTGTTGCATGCCATTGAGGTGTGTCAGCACACGAACTAATACATGCTGCAGGAGATCGCAGATTGTGGCGAGGGATAATGGCCCACGTCAGTCGGCAAGGCACCTGATGATTATGATTCACTATTCGTATTCGGCCGAATAGTTGGTCCCACTATTCGTATTCGGCCGAATAGTGAAAATCACTATTCGGTATAGCCCTAATTCCTATGGTCATGACTGACATGGTTGTCTGGTAAGCGCCGCTGTCCTCCTCTACTGTTTTCCCCATTCTTTCCACTGTGTATGCCCATGCTGACCTTGATCCATGCTTCACGGACCCATCTGTGTAGATGATGATATCTTCTGGGCTTGAATGCTGATCTATCAGTTCCTTTACCTCTGTGTCTACGGTCGCAGGAATTTGATCCCTGCAGTACCTTCAGAGTGTGATGACAACCTTAGAGAGCCCATGCATGTCTACTGGTGTATTCGTCCATTCATTTCCATGACTAGTTTGAGAATGGAGGTGGAGGCAGTCACTGTTCGAGAAGAGACAGGCATGCTGCGTGCAGGCTGGCAAGCATCGCTTCAGAGGACCCGGGTAGATAGTATCACTTGGATATTTTCTCCAGGTTGTGCTGGTGCGTTGGAAAATGAGCAAGCAGATAGGCTAGCTGATTCTGCAGCACTTAGTGGTGAAATGATGACAAACTAGATGTTATGCTTTGGAAGCGAGTAAACAGTGAGAAGGCACAAACAGATCATTACGGTCTGAGGAGAACAGCGCTGTGAGAAGTTATTAGGGGATTTGACTGATACTCAAAGACTCAAATGAAAGGCGAGACAGATTTACAATCAGACTGTTGCTCGTGCCATCAGAATTGGAACTCTTCGCTTGATGCTGATGATTAGGATGGAGCGCTTATGGGAGTGTTCCTAGTACTGTGATGTCGATTCATCATTCAAGATTAATAAATGGTCTTCAGCATGTCTCCCTTGTCCAGCACAAGTGTTCCCATAGCTATCGCTGGTTAAATCAGTAATCATTATATACTAGAGTGCAGAAAATGTAGCTACTTACTGCTAGTTCATCTTCCTCTTTGGATCTGAGAGGCACTCTTTCACCATGAAGCTGTGTATTCACCTTCTGAAGCAAGATGGTGGCATTGCTGCGTCTGGCTGGCATTGCTTTAGCACTTAGTCATTTAGAACCCTGGAAATAACAAAATAAACTTCATGGTCTGTCTCTGAAAGTTTGGAAAATAAATAATGGTAAATATAACAACTGTGTTTGACTTGTAGATTATGAACACTCTATGGTAGAGGATTCAGCTGTGATTGACTTGTAGAGTATGTACACTCGATGGTAGAGGGTTAGCTGTGTTTGACTTGTAGATTATGTACACTCTATGGTAGAGGGTTAGCTGTGTTTGACTTGTAGATTATGTACACTCTATGGTAGAGGGTTAGCTGTGTTTGACTTGTAGAGTATGTACACTCTATCGTAGAGGGTTCAGCTGTGTTTGACTTGTAGATTATGTACACTCTATGGTAGAGGATTAGCTGTGTTTGACTTGTTTGACACTCTTGTATTGACTTGTAGAGTATGTACACTCTATGGTAGAGGGTTAGCTGTGTTTGACTTGTAGATTATGTACACTCTATGGTAGAGGATTAGCTGTGTTTGACTTGTAGATTATGTACACTCTATGGTAGAGGGTTCAGCTGTGTTTGACTTGTAGATTATGTACACTCTATGGTAGAGGGTTAGCTGTGTTTGACTTGTAGATTATGTACACTCTATGGTAGAGGGTCAGCTGTGTTTGACTTGTAGATTATGTACACTCTATGGTAGAGGGTTAGCTGTGTTTGACTTGTAGAGTATGTACACTCTATGGTAGAGGGTTCAGCTGTGATTGACTTGTAGAGTATGTACACTCTATGGTAGAGGATTCAGCTGTGTTTGACTTGTAGATTATGTACACTCTATGGTAGAGAGTTAGCTGTGTTTGACTTGTAGAGTATGTACACTCTATGGTAGAGGGTTAGCTATGTTTGACTTGTAGATTATGTACACTCTATGGTAGAGGATTCAGCTGTGATTGACTTGTACAGTATGTACACTCTATGGTAGAGGGTTCAGCTGTGTTTGACTTGTAGAGTATGTACACTCTATGGTAGAGGGTCAGCTGTGTTTGACTTGTAGAGTATGTACACTCTATGGTAGAGGATTCAGCTGTGTTTGACTTGTAGATTATGTACACTCTATGGTAGAGGGTTAGCTGTGTTTGACTTGTAGATTATGTACACTCTATGGTAGAGGGTTAGCTGTGTTTGACTTGTAGAGTATGTACACTCTATGGTAGAGGGTTCAGCTGTGTTTGACTTGTAGATTATGTACACTCTATGGTAGAGGGTTAGCTGTGTTTGACTTGTAGATTATGTACACTCTATGGTAGAGGGTTCAGCCCTGTTTGACTTGTAGAGTATGTACACTCTATGGTAGAGGGTTCAGCTGTGTTTGACTTGTATTTTTGCATCTGACAGACAGTGGACACTGCATTTTTCTCTATGCGTAGACTGAAAAGATATAGTTTTGTCACCTATCAACTGAGCTGAGTACATGGCATGTCACGTTGAACTGATATTTCAACTGGAATGTTTTGTCACGAATGTGACCAACGTGGTGAATGAACTGCAGATTTAGAAAATGGCAAGTGGCATGTTGCTACACAACTAGTGGTGCCTTATGTGATTACAATTAATCACATGTGCAACTGCTGATCTGTTTATAACAGCTGCCTCCGTCGATGAGGAACTGCATTTCTAATGTTGAACTGTTTGTTTTAACTATTCTGTTGGCAGCCTTACGTTTTTAATGTATGTTATTAAATGTTACACATCTCCGAGTGGGTTCCGGGGCCCTATTGTGGGGAAACACTGCCTACTCAAAAGCATCTAGTAAGAGTTGATTAATTGGGAACTTCCTTTTAAGTCGGATTGCATCTGCCTGAGAGGCAAGGAACCAGCAGTTTGCATACAAATGAGTCAGATCTGTAAAACAGATGCACACGCAACACTCAGGTTCTGGAACACGCCTGCAGTCCAGAAGTGGATGAACCAGAACTTTCCGCCAGAGTTGACAGCTGGTGAACGCAAAGAAGAAATGTTACACAACAATTCACAAATTGTTTCATGCAAGATGTGACAGAGATTTTAAAAAATTATTTTAACGAACCTAGGATCAATAACAAAATAAAATAATAACTGTTAACAAAAACATCAACACAATCCTCATAACATTAACATAAAGAAAAACACCAACACAATCGTAATAACATTGTCAGATAGAAAAAAATGGGGGGGGGGGGGGGGTTGAGAGTGGAGGGTTGAAGAGGAGGCATAGCTTATATCTGCACCAGACAAGTGAAGTAAGTCACGTTTGGCCGGACAACTAGTATTTGCTGGTGGCCAGGAGAAACCAGTCAGCACGACTAGTACCTGTCTGACAGGTTTCCGGACGTTCTGACAGGATTTTAATTGCAGTATAAGTAAACAGGCTCTCCTTTCAACTTCGGCCGGTAGAGAAACATCGACGGCCGGTTAGTCGGAGTTATGTCCCTTTGCTACAGTGGAATTACGGACTGGAGACGGCACGAATCAAACAACACAGTGAGGTCGACATGCAGACCCCGCGCTGCCACTCAAATTAGCGACCGCGTTCAATTACCGCTTCTTCCGACGCATTACGGAGTGGACTAGAGGTAACGAGACAAGTGACATAGTTACGGTGTGTCAGTGATAGACAGCGTGCAGTGCCCTAGGGTTAGGGGTAGGGATAGGGTTTAGGTTGCTACTATGAGTTTGTGCGAAGACGAGATGCGGCGACAGTAACCTTAACCCACATCGTAAACCTAATCCTACCGCTAAACCAAACCCTAACCCTACCCCTAAACTAAACCCTAACCCACACACAAACCGTAACCGAATGCTGTCTATCGGCAACACACAGTAATTATGTTATTTGTTTCGTTCCCTCCTGTCCAGTCCGTAATTGCACTGTAGCAAGGCGACATAACTCTGACTAACCGGCTGTCGATGTTTCTCTACCGGCCGAAGTTGACAGGAGAGCCAGTAAACATAACCTGCCCTGTGAACACTGATGTACAACAGTGTAGTTGTGACAACAGTTTATTCTCGAAACAACAAACATGAAACCAACAACTCTTTTAGTGAGCCCCAGACAAGCAGAAACATTCTGATCTAACATCCCACAGTCCTGTTGTCCCATCCATGTACACCTCTGTTAGTTACTTCACTTCAGGCATATTTGTCTTTTACTGTTTTGTTCGACACCGTTTGCAACCCCTCCCGATAAATAAATGGCATCTAGGGGAAACAGAAGATAAAAATAAAATACAAATGTCGGACTTTTTTTTATAGCAGTGGATTAGTGGACAACAAATGGTTGTAGATTAAATCTGTGGACAACATAGTGTATGAGTCCGTAGAAAACTGATAAACTAGGACAAGGATAAACAGATAATGTTTGTAGGGAAAAACTGACATCAGTATCTTGAGCAACCAGGGACGGCTGTCTCTCGTACGCCAACGTGCGTATACCCCCAGTCACAAACGTGTCCTTGATTAAACAGGTAAAAACAAACCAGAGAAGTTGAGAAGTCTCTAGCGGAATGCTGACTGCAGTAACCAGGGACGGTGATCTCCCTTACAACCATGGCCGCGGGGTCACTTCCGGGGAGAAAACCGGACGTGACCTTTGTAAGATCATACGCGGGATCTCCCCCGACCTGGCGCGTGGTGAGAGCTGATTAGCTGGGGGCTGGGGTGTCCTGGCAGCTTGGACCAATCAGCGGTGGCCAGCTGGCGGGGACCGGGTGCAGGCTCCTGATGATGATGATGATCTGGCTGGAGGACGGCTACTGGCTGTTTTAAACTTAGATCTCTGATAAAGTCTGATCCGTCTTTGCTGGCAGTCTCGCCACAAACATTTTGAGCACATTTGTTTTGCAGCAACTTCACGTCGGTAGACAAGAAGACTTGTTCCAGCCCCTCGCTATGACCAGCCCGGCGCTACTGCTGCTGCTGCTACTGGGCGTCGCTGTTGCCGACCCTACGGTTTACTTCGAGGAGCGATTCAACGACGGCGGTAAGTGGTCTGTTCCTCTACTGTCGCTGGCCTTGTTGTTTGTGCCAAGTTTGGATCTAGCACTAATTTCTGCTAGCTACCACCGTTTCTGTTTCTTTGAATCCAGCCACTGGTGTCTCCTCCAGACTGCTTTTTTCTCTTCTGGCGCCTTGTCTCCATCTAGACAAGTCTGGTCTTTAGTAATTAGTCTGAGCAGTGTCAGATAACTCACTTTAGGATGTGGAGTAACATCACTTCAGGATGTGGAGTAACATCACTTCAGGATGTGGAGTAACATCACTTCAGGATATGGAGTAACATCACTTCAGGATGTGGAGTAACATCACTTCAGGATGGGGAGTAACATCACTTCAGGATGTGGAGTAACATCACTTCAGGATGTGGAGTAACATCACTTCAGGATGTGGAGTAACATTACTTTAGGATGTGGAATACCATCACTTCAGGATGTGGAGTAACATTACTTCAGGATGTGGAGTAACATCACTTCAGGATGTGGAGTAACATCACTTCAGGATGTGGAGGATACACCAGTGGAAATTAGGACGCATATTAAATGGATGTGGGAGAGACACCGATGGAAATTAAAACACATACTAACTGGATGTGGAGGGAGACACTGGTGTAACTATAGTTTGCCATTTGAACAATTAATCATCATCACCACACACAGGTAGTAACCCATTAGTGCTCCGTTCTTCTTCTAACAAGCCTGAGTCCGAAGAAGCTCAGACTTTCTAACACAGGCGTGGATCTTGAAATACTTGAGGTAGATTTTAAACTCCAAATGTTGTCATGTGTTATTGTAATTTGTCAGTTGACACAAGAGCAAGTGACAGTGACACCTGCTGCTTTCTTCCTCAGACAAATGGGAGAGCAGATGGGTGGAGTCCCAGCACAGGTCAGATCTCGGCAAATTCAAACTCACAGCTGGCAAGTTTTATGGAGATGCAGAAGAAGACAAGGGTGAGCACTTTTTTGTGTTTCTATCTCGTGTATAGTTTTTAAAAGTAATGATTTGTTTTGTTTTATTATAATTGTGGTGTTGGTGACCACTTGTGATGTACTAGACCAGCATTTGTGTATGTTGCTAAGTGGTCACATGCAGTCTTTGTTGGTTAGCTGTTGTCAGTCTCTTGGTGGGATGTTGCTAAGTGGTCACATGCAGTCTTTGTTGGTTAGCTGTTGTCAGTCTCTTGGTGGGATGTTGCTAAGTGGTCACATGCAGTCTTTGTTGGTTAGCTGTTGTCAGTCTCTTGGTGGGATGTTGCTAAGTGGTCACATGCAGTCTTTGTTGGTTAGCTGTTGTCAGTCTCTTGGTGGGATGTTGCTAAGTGGTCACATGCAGTCTTTGTTGGTTAGCTGTTGTCAGTCTCTTGGTGGGATGTTGCTAAGTGGTCACATGCAGTCTTTGTTGGTTAGCTGTTGTCAGTCTCTTGGTGGGATGTTGCTAAGTGGTCACATGCAGTCTTTGTTGGTTAGCTGTTGTCAGTCTCTTGGTTTGATGCACCAGGACCCAGGCTGCCATCGACACCCCTCCAGCGTCATTCGACAGTCCCCTAGCAACATCTTGGCCAACATTGACAGGGTCAGTATTTCCTTCCAGGTTCGAGGGTATCAACCTAAGAGGCAAGGAACTAGCAGTCTGCACACAAATAAGCCGAAGATGAATGTGCTCACATTCAAGTCCTAGAACAGAGTTATTCAACTACATTTATTCATGGGCCAAGATTTCCAAATGGGATTGCCAAGGGCAGGAGGCCCACATCCCAACATACACAGATCATGAATACACATAACTGGCAGTGATCTACAGGTCACATAATCTACAGGTCACATGATCCACAGGTCACTTGATCTACAGGTCACTTGATCTTCAGGTCACATGATCTACAGGTCAAATGATCTTCAGGTCACATGATCTACGGGTCACTTGATCTACAGGTCACATGATCTACAGGTCACTTGATCTTCAGGTCACTTGATCTTCAGGTCACTTGATCTTCAGGTCACTTGATCTACAGGTCACTTGATCTACAGGTCACTTGATCTTCAGGTCACTTGATCTTCAGGTCACATGATCTACAGGTCACATGATCCACAGGTCACTTGATCTTCAGGTCACTTGATCTACAGGTCACTTGATCTACAGGTCACTTGATCTACAGGTCACTTGATCTTCAGGTCACTTGATCTACAGGTCACAAGTAAGGCCACCAGTTGAATAGCCCTGTCCTAGAACAAGGCTGACGTCCAGAAGTTGATGAACAACCAAGACTTTCTGTCAAGAGCTGACAGCTGTTAAAAGTGGAGTCTCCTTCTGTCTCTTGTACTGTCCGTCATCTCTGTTACAGATGTTCTTCCCAGTCATGATGTAGAATTGTCAACATCTCCTTCGATCTCTATCTCTCTCTTTCATGTTGTCATATCATGGATACTGTATTTTTTCATCTCTATAAATACATACATTCATCGTCTAGCCAACGGCCACTAGATGTATCAGTCAGTGAGGTTTAGTTGAGAAAGACAACTGCCACTAGATGTATCAGTCAGTGAGGTTTAGTTGAGAAAGACAACTGCCACTAGATGTATCAGTCAGTGAGGTTTAGTTGAGAAAGACAACTGCCACTAGATGTATCAGTCAGTGAGGTTTAGTTGAGAAAGACAACGGCCACTAGATGTATCAGTCAGTGAGGTTTTAGTTGAGAAAGACAACTGCCACTAGATGTATCAGTCAGTGAGGTTTAGTTGAGAAAGACAACTGCCACTAGATGTATCAGTCAGTGAGGTTTAGTTGAGAAAGACAACTGCCACTAGATGTATCAGTCAGTGAGGTTTAGTTGAGAAAGACAACTGCCACTAGATGTATCAGTCAGTGAGGTTTAGTTGAGAAAGACAACGGCCACTAGATGTATCAGTCAGTGAGGTTTAGTTGAGAAAGACAACTGCCACTAGATGTATCAGTCAGTGAGGTTTAGTTGAGAAAGACAACGGCCACTAGATGTATCAGTCAGTGAGGTTTAGTTGAGAAAGACAACTGCCACTAGATGTATCAGTCAGTGAGGTTTAGTTGAGAAAGACAACTGCCACTAGATGTATCAGTCAGTGAGGTTTAGTTGAGAAAGACAACTGCCACTAGATGTATCAGTCAGTGAGGTTTAGTTGAGAAAGACAACGGCCACTAGATGTATCAGTCAGTGAGGTTTAGTTGAGAAAGACAACGGCCACTAGATGTATCAGTCAGTGAGGTTTAGTTGAGAAAGACAACGGCCACTAGATGTATCAGTCAGTGAGGTTTAGTTGAGAAAGACAACGGCCACTAGATGTATCAGTCAGTGAGGTTTAGTTGAGAAAGACAACGGCCACTAGATGTATCAGTCAGTGAGGTTTAGTTGAGAAAGACAACGGCCACTAGATGTATCAGTCAGTGAGGTTTAGTTGAGAAAGACAACGGCCACTAGATGTATCAGTCAGTGAGGTTTAGTTGAGAAAGACAACGGCCACTAGATGTATCAGTCAGTGAGGTTTAGTTGAGAAAGACAACGGCCACTAGATGTATCAGTCAGTGAGGTTTAGTTGAGAAAGACAACTGCCACTAGATGTATCAGTCAGTGAGGTTTAGTTGAGAAAGACAACTGCCACTAGATGTATCAGTCAGTGAGGTTTAGTTGAGAAAGACAACTGCCACTAGATGTATCAGTCAGTGAGGTTTAGTTGAGAAAGACAACTGCCACTAGATGTATCAGTCAGTGAGGTTTAGTTGAGAAAGACAACTGCCACTAGATGTATCAGTCAGTGAGGTTTAGTTGAGAAAGACAACTGCCACTAGATGTATCAGTCAGTGAGGTTTAGTTGAGAAAGCCAAGTGTCCTAGAAAACACATTTTGCACTGTCACTGTGTCTGTTGGCAGGAATCCAGACGTCTCAAGATGCCAGGTTTTATGCCTTGTCAGCCAAGTTTGATAAGTTCAGCAATGAAGATAAACCACTGGTGATTCAGTTCACGGTGAAACATGAGCAGAACATTGACTGTGGAGGTGGTTACGTCAAACTGTTCCCTAGCAGCTTGAATCAGAAAGACATGCATGGAGATACCCCTTACAACATCATGTTTGGTAAGCATGTCTGTCACGTGTCCTGTCTGAGCAAGTTTTTTGTTTGTTTGTGTGTCAGTCTGGGGCTGTCTGTCACGTGTGCTGTCTAAGCAGGTTTGTGTATCAGTCTGGGGCTGTCTGTCATGTGTGCCGTCTAAGCAGGTTTGTGTGTCAGTTTGGGGCTGTCTGTCACGTGTGTAGTCTGAGCAGGTTTGTGTGTCAGTCTGGGGCTGTCACGTGACCTGTCTGAGCAAGTTTTTTGTTTGTTTGTGTCAGTCTGAGGCTGTCTGTCACGTGTCCTCTCTGAGCAAGTTTGTTGTGTGTCAGTCTGGGGCTGTCACGTGTTTTGTCTGAGCAAGTTTGTTGTGTGTCAGTCTGGGGCTGTCACGTGTTCTGTCTGAGCAAGTTTGTTGTGTGTCAGTCTGGGGCTGTCTGTCACGTGTGCCATCTGAGCAAGTTTGTTGTGTGTCAGTCTGAAGCTGTCTGTAACATGTCCTGTCTAAGCAAGTTTGTTGTGTGTCAGTCTGGGGCTGTCTGTCACGTGTGCCATCTGAGCAAGTTTGTTGTGTGTCAGTCTGGGGCTGTCTGTAACATGTCCTGTCTAAGCAAGTTTGTTGTGTGTCAGTCTGGGGCTGTCTGTAACATGTCCTGTCTAAGCAAGTTTGTTGTGTGTCAGTCTGGGGCTGTCTGTAACATGTCCTGTCTAAGCAAGTTTGTTGTGTGTCAGTCTGGGGCTGTCTGTAACATGTCCTGTCTAAGCAAGTTTGTTGTGTGTCAGTCTGGGGCTGTCTGTAACATGTCCTGTCTAAGCAAGTTTGTTGTGTGTCAGTCTGGGGCTGTCTGTAACATGTCCTGTCTAAGCAAGTTTGTTGTGTGCCAGTCTGGGGCTGTCTGTCACGTGTGCCGTCTGAGCAAGTTTGTTGTGTGTCAGTCTGAAGCTGTCTGTAACATGTCCTGTCTAAGCAAGTTTGTTGTGTGTCAGTCTGAAGCTGTCTGTAACATGTCCTGTCTAAGCAAGTTTGTTGTGTGTCAGTCTGGGGCTGTCTGTCACGTGTGCCGTCTGAGCAAGCTTTTTGTTTGTTTGTGTGTCAGTCTGAGGCTGTCTCTCAAATATCCTGTCTGAGCAGGTTAGTTTATTGTATGTCAAAGACATTTGTAGGTCAGTCTGGTGCTGTCTTTCGTGTCAGTATAACTGTTAGTATGGTGCTGTCTCTCATGTCAGTTTGGTGTTGTCTCTCATGTCAGTGTGTCGGTCTGGTGCTGTCCCTCAGCAGTATGTTAGTCTGGTGCTGTCTGTCATGTCAGTCTGGTGGTGTTTCTCATGTTAGTCTGAAGCCGCCTGTCATGTCAATCTTGCTGTCTTTCATGATGGCCAGTCTCAAAGACTGCTAGCTGTACTAGTGCACTATCACCAGAGATGTCTGTGGTTTAGCTGAAGCTGGTTGTATTGTCTTGTTGTCTCCAGGACCTGACATCTGCGGGCCAGGAACTAAGAAAGTCCATGTCATCTGTAGCTACAAGGGAACCAACCATTTGATCAAGAAAGACATTCGCTGCAAGGTGAGCTGTCCTTGTGTATTATCTCTATCAGTTTATGTGACAGGCCAGTAAATGCCCTGGTGGCTTGGAGAGAGAGCAGTGATAAAGGGTATGGAGAAAATGAAGCAGAGGCTGACCTTAGCAAAGGTGAGCACGAGACATTGAAGATTCATTGGCTGTGAAAGCACATAGGGCTGGAGACTCATCTATAAAGAGACTTTGAGGTGTACCATGATGAGAGTGACGTTGTTGATTGATGATGATGAGTTGACCAATCAAGTCTTTGGGAGTTTATTAATGTGACAGGAAAACTCTTCACCAGATGATCTGTCACATGTCCAGGTTTCAGGATGTCTACACATCTGTACACTCTATGTTTCAGGATGTCTACACACATCTGTACACTCTGTTTTTGTTTCAGGGTGATGTCTACACACATCTGTACACTCTCTTTTTGTTTCAGGGTGATGTCTACACACATCTGTACACTCTGTTTATGTTTTCAGGATGATGTCTGTACACTCTTATGTTTCAGGATGATGTCTACACACATCTGTACACTCTGTTTATGTTTCAGGATGATTTCTACACACATCTGTACACTCTGTTTATGTTTTAGGAGGTCTACATACATCTGTACACTCTGTTTATGTTTCAGGATGTCTACATACATCTGTACACTGTTTATGCTTCAGGATGTCTACACACATCTGTACACTCTTTTTTCATGATGATGTCTACATACATCTGTACACTCTGTTTATGTTTCATGATGATGTCTACATACATCTGTACACTCTGTTTATGTTTCATGATGATGTCTACATACATCTGTACACTCTGTTTATGTTTCATGATGATGTCTACATACATCTGTACACTCTGTTTATGTTTCAGGATGTCTACATACATCTGTACACTGTTTATGCTTCAGGATGTCTACACACATCTGTACACTCTTTTTTTCATGATGATGTCTACATACATCTGTACACTCTGTTTATGTTTCATGATGATGTCTACATACATCTGTACACTCTGTTTATGTTTCATGATGATGTCTACATACATCTGTACACTCTGTTTATGTTTCATGATGATGTCTACATACATCTGTACACTCTGTTTATGTTTCATGATGATGTCTTCATACATCTGTACACTCTGTTTATGTTTCATGATGATGTCTACACACATCTGTACAGTCTGATTGTCCCGGTTTCTGGATGATACCTACACACATTTGTATACTGATTGTCCATGTTGCAGGTTGTCTACTCCCATCTGTACACTTTGATTGTTTGTTTCAGGATGATGTCTACACACATCTGTACACTTTGATTGTCCATGTTTTAGGTTGATATATACCCACAGCTGTACACTATAATTGTCCATTATTTCAGGATGATGTCTACACACATCTGTACACTCTGATTGTCAGGCCAGACAACACGTATGAGGTGAAGATTGACGGTGAAAAGGTAGAGAGCGGCCTGTTGGAGGAAGACTGGGACTTGTTGCCCCCAAAGAAGATTCCTGTAAGTGTAATGATTCCTCTCTGTGCTTGTACTGTGTTGTTGTTTGTGTGAAGACTTCCAGGCAGTTGCTGTTGCTGATATATCCAGGGTTTTTAGTTGCACTTACTTCTCTAGGGAGATCTTGACTGTGAGAATGGGGGAAGATCTTATCAGTGAGAGTGGCCCGGCTCTCTAGCGAAGTTGGTTAAACCTGATTTTCGCGGCGGCCGGGTGACGAACTCCTTGTGGTCCGGGTTCACTCCCGGGGGTAGGCAGAAAAGCCACATTTCTCCCAGATTAACGGTACCTATAATGGAATCAATGCCGAAGGGTTGCGATATCCATAGTACCGAGCCAAAGGGTTTACAACTCATGGTTTCTGGATACGTTAAAAAAAAAAAAAAAATCAGTGAGGGTGATGGAAGATCTTATCAGTGAGGGTGATGGAAGATCTTGTCAGTGAGCGTGATGGAAGATCTTGTCAGTGAGGGTGATGGAAGATCTTATCAGTGAGGGTGATGGAAGATCTTGTCAGTGAGCGTGATGGAAGATCTTGTGAGTGAGCGTGATGGAAGATCTTGTGAGTGAGCGTGATGGAAGATCTTATCAGTGAGGGTGATGGAAGATCTTATCAGTGAGCGTGATGGAAGATCTTATCAGTGAGGGTGATGGAAGATCTTATCAGTGAGCGTGATGGAAGATCTTATCAGTGAGGGTGATGGAAGATCTTGTCAGTGAGGGTGATGGAAGATCTTGTCAGTGAGGATGATGGACAATCTTGTCAGTGAGGGTGATGGAAGATCTTATCAGTGAGGGTGATGGACAATCTTGTCAGTGAGGGTGATGGACAATCTTGTCAGTGAGGGTGATGGACAATCTTGTCAGTGAGGGTGATGGACAATCTTGTCAGTGAGGGTGATGGAAGATCTTGTCAGTGAGGGTGATGGAAGATCTTATCAGTGAGGGTGATGGAAGATCTTATCAGTGAGGGTGATGGAAGATCTTATCAGTGAGGGTGATGGAAGATCTTGTCAGTGAGGGTGATGGACAATCTTATCAGTGAGCGTGATGGAAGATCTTATCAGTGAGGGTGATGGAAGATCTTGTCAGTGAGGGTGATGGAAGATCTTGTCAGTGAGGGTGATGGAAGATCTTGTCAGTGAGGGTGATGGACAATCTTGTCAGTGAGGGTGATGGAAGATCTTATCAGTGAGGGTGATGGACAATCTTGTCAGTGAGGGTGATGGACAATCTTATCAGTGAGGGTGATGGAAGATCTTATCAGTGAGCGTGATGGAAGATCTTATCAGTGAGGGTGATGGAAGATCTTATCAGTGAGCGTGATGGAAGATCTTATCAGTGAGGGTGATGGAAGATCTTGTCAGTGAGGGTGATGGAAGATCTTGTCAGTGAGGATGATGGACGATCTTGTCAGTGAGGGTGATGGACAATCTTGTCAGTGAGGGTGATGGAAGATCTTATCAGTGAGGGTGATGGACGATCTTGTCAGTGAGGGTGATGGACAATCTTGTCAGTGAGGGTGATGGACAATCTTGTCAGTGAGGGTGATGGACAATCTTGTCAGTGAGGGTGATGGAAGATCTTATCAGTGAGCGTGATGGAAGATCTTATCAGTGAGGGTGATGGAAGATCTTATCAGTGAGGGTGATGGAAGATCTTATCAGTGAGGGTGATGGAAGATCTTGTCAGTGAGGGTGATGGACAATCTTATCAGTGAGCGTGATGGAAGATCTTGTCAGTGAGGGTGATGGAAGATCTTGTCAGTGAGGGTGATGGAAGATCTTGTCAGTGAGGGTGATGGACAATCTTGTCAGTGAGGGTGATGGAAGATCTTATCAGTGAGGGTGATGGACAATCTTGTCAGTGAGGGTGATGGACAATCTTGTCAGTGAGGGTGATGGACAATCTTGTCAGTGAGAGTGATGGACAATCTTGTCAGTGAGGGTGATGGACAATCTTGTCAGTGAGGGTGATGAAAGATCTTGTCAGTGAGGATGATGGAAGATCTTGTCAGTGAGGGTGATAGAAGGTCTTGTCAGTGAGGGTGATGGACAATCTTATCAGTGAGGGTGATGGACAATCTTGTCAGTGAGGGTGATGGACAATCTTGTCAGTGAGGGTGATGGAAGATCTTATCAGTGAGGGTGATGGAAGATCTTGTCAGTGAGAGTGATGGAAGATCTTGTCAGTGAGGGTGATGGACAATCTTGTCAGTGAGAGTGATGGACAATCATGTCAGTGAGGGTGATGGACAATCTTGTCAGTGAGGGTGATGGACAATCTTGTCAGTGAGAGTGATGGACAATCTTGTCAGTGAGGGTGATGGACAATCTTGTCAGTGAGAGTGATGGACAATCTTGTCAGTGAGGGTGATGGACAATCTTGTCAGTGAGAGTGATGGACAATCTTGTCAGTGATGGTGATGGACAATCTTGTCAGTGAGAGTGATGGACAATCTTGTCAGTGAGAGTGATGGACAATCTTGTCAGTGAGAGTGATGGACAATCTTGTCAGTGAGAGTGATGGACAATCTTGTCAGTGAGAGTGATGGACAATCTTGTCAGTGAGAGTGATGGACAATCTTGTCAGTGAGAGTGATGGACAATCTTGTCAGTGAGAGTGATGGACAATCTTGTCAGTGAGAGTGATGGAAGGTCTTGTCAGTGAGGGTGATGGAAGGTCTTGTCAGTGAGAGTGATGGAAGATCTTGTCAGAGAGGGTGATGGAAGGTCTTGTCAGTGTAGGTGATAAAAAATGAATGCTATGGGAGTAGTGGAAGATCTTGAGGCTGTTGTGTTTTCTGTGTTCTAATCTTGTCAGTGTGCTTCAGTCTGGCTAACTGTTTATTTTAGGACCCTGATGCCAGTAAACCAGACGACTGGGACGAGCGTGAGAAGATTGACGACCCTGAAGACACCAAACCCGAGGACTGGGACAAGCCTGAGCATATCCCTGACCCAGACGCCAAGAAGCCAGACGACTGGGATGATGAGATGGATGGTGAATGGGAGCCACCCATGATTGACAACCCTGAGTACAAAGTAAGTTTGTGGTGTCCACACAATCTGTGGGGTTTTGGGAGACCGCTGTCCTCAACAAGCATATCATAAACACTGGCCGTTGTTTCTGTCCAGCTGCACACAGATCAGCTAGATCTGACCAGTGAACATGCCGTGTTGCCACTCCACATGATACTACATGATATTGAGCTCTGTGCGTGTGTCCTACCTGCTGGTGAAATTATGTATGTGCTAACTGTCAACAGTGCATGTCCTACACTTGATACTGCTTGCTGGTAACATATGTATGTGCACTGAGTGACAACCTCATATATGTGTGACATGTTTACAGGGTGAGTGGAGGCCCAAACAGATCGACAACCCAGCCTACAAGGGCAAGTGGGTGCATCCAGAGATCGACAACCCTGAGTATGTGGCCGAGCCTAAACTCTATAAATATGACGACTTTGGAGCCATAGGATTTGATCTCTGGCAGGTAGGCATCTCAGACATGTATGTGATCTATGTGTGTCTTATATGTATGTATGCCTTTACCATCCACACTTTTGTTTTCAGCTTGATATTCATAAGTATGTATGTGTTTATACTGGTGTATGAAAATACCATGCTTTATTGGTAAAATACAACTGTTATCTGAAAAATGTACTCAGTTGATACACTCTGAAATGAAGTGTAGACACAATTTAGGCACACTGAAATGTAGTGCACATATACTTTTGATGTACTCTGAAATGTAGTGCACAGATACATGATGCACTGTGAAATGTAGTGCCAGACAGATAGTTGATGTACTCCAAAATGTAGTGCACACATAGATACATGAAGCACTGTGAAATGTAGTGCCAGACAGATGGTTGATGTACCCTAAAATGTAGTGCACAGATAGATACATGATGCACTGTGAAATGTAGTGCCAGACAGACAGTTGATGTACTCTAAAATGTAGTGCACAGATAGATACATGATGCACTGTGAAATGTAGTGCCAGACAGATGGTTGATGTACTCTAAAATGTAATGCACAGATAGATGCATGATGTACTGTGCAATGTAGTGCCAGACAGGCAGTAGAGACAGTTTATGTACTCTGATGAAATGTAGTGAACAGACTGTTAATGCACTCTGAAATGTAGTGCACAGACAGTGTATGTAGTGCAGACAGACAGTTGATGCCTGTGAAATATGGACAGACATAAATTGATGCACTTTGAAATGTTGCGCACAAACAAACAATTGATGCATGGGAAATATGGACAGACAGAAATTGATGCACTCTAAAATGTTGCACACAGAAAAACAATTGATGCACTCTAAAATGTAGTGCACATACAGATAATTGATGCATGTAAAATGTGGACAGGCAGACAATTGTTGCACTATGAAATACATTGCACATACAGACAGCTGAAAAACACTAAAATGTAGTGGAAAGACTAGTGCACAGACAACACTAATATATCAATGTCTCGACTGTGTCTTGTGTTGCAGGTGAAGTCTGGCACAATCTTTGACAACATCCTGATTACTGACGATGTCGACTACGCCGAGAAGTTTGCCAATGAAACCTGGGCCAAGACCAAAGATGCTGAGAGGAAAATGAAAGAAGCACAGGATGAAGAAGAAAGGAAGGCTAGAGAAGAGGAAGATAAGAAGCGGGCAGAGGAGGAAGATACCACTAAAGCAGAAGATGAAGCTGATGAAGAAGATAAGGATGAAGATGAAGATGAAGATTTAACAAAGGATGAATTATAGGCAACAGTTGCAATTTTTTCGGTTTAGCTTTTTCTCATGTTGAATGTCCTAGTTTATTTTGTCCCCCACTGACCACATTGTAGGATGTCTGCTGCCAGCCCAACACATTGATGAGTTCTCTGTGGCTACAGCAGGTTAGGTAGTGCACACCAATCTTCCATGGAACACTGATGAGTTCTCTGTGGTTACAGTAGGTTAGGTAGTGCACACCAATCTTCCATGGAACACTGATGAGTTCTCTGTGGTTACAGCAGGTTAGGTAGTGCAATCTTCCATGGAACACTGATGGGTTCTCTGTGGCTACAGCAGGTTAGGTAGTGCACACCAATCTTCCATGGAACACTGATGAGTTCTCTGTGGTTACAGCAGGTTAGGTAGTGCACACCAATCTTCCATGGAACACTGATGAGTTCTCTGTGGTTACAGTAGGTTAAGTAGTGCAATCTTCCATGGAACACTGATGAGTTCTCTGTGGTTACAGCAGGTTAGGTAGTGCACACCAATCTTCCATGGAACACTGATGAGTTCTCTGTGGCTACAGCAGGTTAGGTAGTGCACACCAATCTTCCATGGCTCACTGATGAGTTCTCTGTGGTTACAGCAGGTTAGGTAGTGCACACCAATCTTCCATGGCTCACTGAAGAGTTCTCTGTGGTTACAGCAGGTTAGGTAGTGCACACCAATCTTCCATGGAACACTGATGAGTTCTCTGTGGTTACAGCAGGTTAGACTGCACACCAATCTTCCATGGTACACTGATGAGTTCTCTGTAGTTACAGCAGGTTAGGTAGTGCACACCAATCTTCCATGGCACACTGATGAGTTCTCTGTGATTACAGCAGGTTAGGTAGTGCACACCAATCTTCCATGGAACACTGATGAGTTCTCTGTGGTTACAGCAGGTTAGGTAGTGCACACCAATCTTCCATGGCACACTGATGAGTTCTCTGTGGTTACAGCAGGTTAGGTAGTGCACACCAATCTTTCATGGCACACTGATGAGTTATCTGTGGTTACAGCAGGTTAGACAGTGCACACCAATCTTCCATGGTACACTGATGAGTTCTCTGTGGTTACAGCAGGTTAGACAGTGCACACCAATCTTCCATGGTACACTGATGAGTTCTCTGTGGTTGCAGCAGGTTAGACAGTGCACACCAATCTTCCATGGTACACTGATGAGTTCTCTGTGGTTGCAGCAGGTTAGACAGTACACACCAATCTTCCATGGTACACTGATGAGTTCTCTGTGGTTGCAGCAGGTTAGACAGTGCACACCAATCTTCCATGGAACACTGATGAGTTCTCTGTGGCTACAGCAGGTTAGGTAGTGCAATCTTCCATGGTACACTGATGAGTTCTCTGTGGTTACAGCAGGTTAGGTAGTGCAATCTTCCATGGAACACTGATGGGTTCTCTGTGGCTACAGCAGGTTAGACAGTGCACACCAAACTTCCATGGAACACATGTTGTATGCTGGCCGTTCTTGTAGAGAACAAGCACCAGTCAGTAGAGAAGGTTTGCCTGGGCTGTCAGTTCCGCTCCAGTTACTACTGGTATTTCTACATCATTAGTTTGTATTTGATGGTTTTCATATTGTGGATATTTGATGCATTGCTAACATGGACACGGTTGGCTGAACATGGTAGTGCCTGCAGGATCAGATGTTTGTGTGTGAGACTTGAGAGTGAGAGAGAATTGTGAGTCCAATGTGACCCAAGGGGAGGGATGGTTGAGGTAAGTCTGGGTCACTGTATAATAGAAATATATATGTATGTTTCACCACATAGACATGGTGTTATGAGCTTGTGTGAATGTTTCACCATAGACATGGTGGTGGGAGTGTCTGAGCGCATCCCTCTCATGACAGTTGTGTACAAGTGTATGTGCGATGTTATGACCATGTATTTTATCTGACAGAGTTGGTATTAAACACTTCTACGCTGATTCTGATGTTTGTCTTCTTGTTGTGACAGTTCTCTAGTTATGTCTGTACATGATGGATGTGACAGTTCTCTAGTTATGTCTGCTCATGTTGGATGTGACAGTTCTCTAGTTATATCTGCTCATGTTGGATGTGACAGTTCTCTAGTTATGTCTGTACATTTTGGATGTGACAGTTCTCTAGTATTGTCTGTACATGTTGGAAGTGACAGTTCTCTAGTTATGTCTGTACATGTTGGATGTGACAGTTCTCTAGTTATGTCTGTACCTGATGGATGTGACAGTTCTCTAGTTATGCCTGCACATGATGGATGTGACAGTTCTCTAGTTATGTCTGTACCTGATGGATGTGACAGTTCTCTAGTTATGTCTGCACATGATGGATGTGACAGTTCTCTAGTTATGTCTGTACATGTTGGATGTGACAGTTCTCTAGTTATGTCTGTACATGATGAATGTGACAGTTCTCTAAATATGTCTGTACATGTTGGATGTGACAGTTCTCTAGTTATGTCTGTACATGATGGATGTGACAGTTCTCTAGTTATGTCTGTACATGTTGGATGTGACAGTTCTCTAGTTATGTCTGTACATGATGGATGTGACAGTTCTCTAGTTATGTCTGTACATGATGGATGTGACAGTTCTCTAGTTATGTCTGTACATGATGGATGTGACAGTTCTCTAGTTATGTCTGTACATGTTGGATGTGACAGTTCTCTAGTTATGTCTGTACATGATGGATGTGACAGTTCTCTAGTTATGTCTGTACACAATGGATGTGACAGTTCTCTAGTTATGTCTGTACATGATGGATGTGACAGTTCTCTAGTTATGTCTGTACATGTTGGATGTGACAGTTCTCTAGTTATGTCTGTACATGTTGGATGTGACAGTTCTCTAGTTATGTCTGCACATGATGGATGTGACAGTTCTCTAGTTATGTCTGCACATGATGGATGTGACAGTTCTCTAGTTATGTCTGTACATGATGGATGTGACAGTTCTCTAGTTATGTCTGTACATGATGGATGTGACAGTTCTCTAGTTATGTCTGTACATGATGGATGTGACAGTTCTCTAGTTATGTCTGTACATGTTGGATGTGACAGTTCTCTAGTTATGTCTGTACATGATGGATGTGACAGTTCTCTAGTTATGTCTGTACACAATGGATGTGACAGTTCTCTAGTTATGTCTGTACATGTTGGATGTGACAGTTCTCTAGTTATGTCTGTACATGATGGATGTGACAGTTCTCTAGTTATGTCTGTACATGTTGGATGTGACAGTTCTCTAGTTATGTCTGTACATGATGGATGTGACAGTTCTCTAGTTATGTCTGTACATGATGGATGTGACAGTTCTCTAGTTATGTCTGTACATGATGGATGTGAAAGTTCTCTAGTTATGTCTGTACATGATGGATGTGAAAGTTCTCTAGTTATGTCTGTACATGATGGATGTGAAAGTTCTCTAGTTATGTCTGTACATGATGGATGTGACAGTTCTCTAGTTATGTCTGTACATGTTGGATGTGACAGTTCTCTAGTTATGTCTGTACATGTTGGATGTGACAGTTCTCTAGTTATGTCTGTACATGATGGATGTGACAGTTCTCTAGTTATGTCTGTACAGTTGGATGTGACAGTTCTCTAGTTATGTCTGTACATGATGGATGTGACAGTTCTCTAGTTATGTCTGTACATGTTGGATGTGACAGTTCTCTAGTTATGTCTGTACATGATGGATGTGACAGTTCTCTAGTTATGTCTGTACATGATGGATGTGACAGTTCTCTAGTTATGTCTGTACATGATGGATGTGACAGTTCTCTAGTTATGTCTGTACATGATGGATGTGACAGTTCTCTAGTTATGTCTGTACATGTTGGATGTGACAGTTCTCTAGTTATGTCTGTACATGATGGATGTGACAGTTCTCTAGTTATGTCTGTACACGATGGATGTGACAGTTCTCTAGTTATGTCTGTACACGATGGATGTGACAGTTCTCTAGTTATGTCTGTACATGTTGGATGTGACAGTTCTCTAGTTATGTCTGTACATGTTGGATGTGACAGTTCTCTAGTTATGTCTGCACATGATGGATGTGACAGTTCTCTAGTTATGTCTGCACATGATGGATGTGACAGTTCTCTAGTTATGTCTGTACATGATGGATGTGACAGTTCTCTAGTTATGTCTGTACATGATGGATGTGACAGTTCTCTAGTTATGTCTGTACATGATGGATGTGACAGTTCTCTAGTTATGTCTGTACATGTTGGATGTGACAGTTCTCTAGTTATGTTTGTACACGATGGATGTGACAGTTCTCTAGTTATGTCTGTACACGATGGATGTGACAGTTCTCTAGTTATGTCTGTACATGTTGGATGTGACAGTTCTCTAGTTATGTCTGTACATGTTGGATGTGACAGTTCTCTAGTTATGTCTGCACATGATGGATGTGACAGTTCTCTAGTTATGTCTGCACATGATGGATGTGACAGTTCTCTAGTTATGTCTGTACATGATGGATATGACAGTTCTCTAGTTATGTCTGTACATGATGGATGTGACAGTTCTCTAGTTATGTCTGTACATGTTGGATGTGACAGTTCTCTAGTTATGTCTGTACATGATGGATGTGACAGTTCTCTAGTTATGTCTGTACATGTTGGATGTGACAGTTCTCTAGTTATGTCTGTACATGATGGATGTGACAGTTCTCTAGTTATGTCTGTACATGATGGATGTGACAGTTCTCTAGTTATGTCTGTACATGATGGATGTGAAAGTTCTCTAGTTATGTCTGTACCTGATGGATGTGAAAGTTCTCTAGTTATGTCTGTACATGATGGATGTGACAGTTCTCTAGTTATGTCTGTACCTGATGGATGTGAAAGTTCTCTAGTTATGTCTGTACATGATGGATGTGACAGTTCTCTAGTTATGTCTGTACATGTTGGATGTGACAGTTCTCTAGTTATGTCTGTACATGATGGATGTGACAGTTCTCTAGTTATGTCTGTACACGATGGATGTGACAGTTCTCTAGTTATGTCTGTACACGATGGATGTGACAGTTCTCTAGTTATGTCTGTACATGTTGGATGTGACAGTTCTCTAGTTATGTCTGTACATGATGGATGTGACAGTTCTCTAGTTATGTCTGTACACAATGGATGTGACAGTTCTCTAGTTATGTCTGTACCTGATGGATGTGACAGTTCTCTAGTTATGTCTGTACCTGATGGATGTGACAGTTCTCTAGTTATGTCTGTACCTGATGGATGTGACAGTTCTCTAGTTATGTCTGTACCTGATGGATGTGACAGTTCTCTAGTTATGTCTGTACACAATGGATGTGACAGTTCTCTAGTTATGTCTGTACCTGATGGATGTGACAGTTCTCTAGTTATGTCTGTACATGATGGATGTGACAGTTCTCTAGTTATGTCTGTACATGATGGATGTGACAGTTCTCTAGTTATGTCTGTACACGATGGATGTGACAGTTCTCTAGTTATGTCTGTACATGTTGGATGTGACAGTTCTCTAGTTATGTCTGTACATGTTGGATGTGACAGTTCTCTAGTTATGTCTGTACATGTTGGATGTCAGGACTGGATTGGTCACTAACACCCTGCCACTAATGATTAACGGAGGGTGGGAAAGCTGTTTGATACCACATTAGGTGACATGACAAATGGGTTCCCAAACAGAAAACAAAACAAAAAACAATCTGCTGGCTTGTCATTGAACAGATTTGTTTAATAGCTCAGTCTTGTTAACTCTTGTGCCCTGTGAGAATATTTGTTTGTTACAAATGACCCTTCTCCAAATTTTGTTAAAAAGAAACTACATTGTTTCCAAAGCTGTTACACAAACATGACTAGTTTAAAGATGTCATAACATTTTTTTTAAACTGCCAAACAGACCGTCTTACAGGGCAATGAGGTTAACATTATTGTCTGTTCAAACAGACTCTTACAGGGCAACTAGGTTAACATTACTGTCTGTTAAACAGACTCTTACAGAGCAATGAGGTTAACATTATTATCTGTTCAAACAGACTCTTACAGGGCAATGAGGTTAACAATATTGTCTGTTCAAACAGACTCTTACAGGGCAATTGGATTAACACTTGTAGTCTGTTAAAACAGGCTCTTAAAGGGAGACAGGATTAAAACTTGTAGTCTGTTAAAACATTCTAACTTGGTGTACAACAGAATCTGAGGCTGTGAGTTGACAATCTGAACAAATACTGCCATGAGTAATTGAACTAACCAAATACTGATTCTATAAGTAATTATTGTTACAAACATATCTGAGAATACCAGTCAAAGGAAATGATTCAAAAACATGATATGGTTTGAGTATTTTTAGATAGCTGGCAATAATATGATGGCTTTGTAACAATCAGTTGACTATATACACAGGCACTAGGGAAAACAAGGATAAAATGTTCACAATTTTGGTAATCAGTACCACTCCCATATTGAAAAACACACCCAACAATCTCGTTGACACTGGTTGTAAAGCTAATGTTGGATACACACACCCAACAATCTTGTTGACGCTGGTTGTAAAGCTAATGTTGGATATGCACACCCAACAATCTTGTTGACGCTGGTTGTAAAACTAATGTTGGATATGCACACCCAACAATCTCAATGATGCTGGTTGTAAAACTAATGTTGGATACACACACCCAACAATCTCTATGATGCTGGTTGTAAAACTAATGTTGGATACACACACCCAACAATCTCTATGATGCTGGTTGTAAAACTAATGTTGGATACACACACCCAACAATCTTGTTGAAGCTGGTTGTAAAGCTAATGTTGGATACACACACCCAACAATCTCAATGACGCTGGTTGTAAAACTAATGTTGGATATGCACACCCAACAATCTCAATGACGCTGGTTGTAAAACTAATGTTGGAAACGCACAAAATTCTCATGGTCACCGGCTGTAAACATCAGGAGGATAGTCCGGGGTGTTCATCCACTTGTAGACTTGTTGCAGAACTTGAGTTTTGCTTGCACATTGCTGTTACAGATCTGACTTATCAGGCAGATGCACTCAACTTGAAAGGACAAATGCCTGACATGTCTCTAACCACACGCTTGAGTGGGGGCAGTGGGTCTATTCTTTGCCACCGAACCCGCACGGAGAGGACAAATATCAAATACAGATGTTGATGCATAATCTATCCAGACTCAGCAGGTTGCTGACACAACATCATGACCTCCGGACTATCTCAGGCACACTAACTAGAACACTTTGTGTGTATGTAAACTATGTAACTCACTTTGTGTGGTAAACTATGTCTCAGGTTAACTAGAACACTTTGTGTGTGTGTAAACTATGTCAGGTGTAGAACAAACTATGTCTCAGGTACACTTAACTAGAACACTTTGTGTGTATGTAAACTATGTCTCAGGTACACTTAACTAGAACACTTTGTGTGTATGTAAACTATGTCTCAGGTACACTTAACTAGAACACTTTGTGTGTATGTAAACTATGTCTCAGGTACACTTAACTAGAACACTTTGTGTGTATGTAAACTATGTCTCAGGTACACTAACTAGAACACTTTGTGTGTATGTAAACTATGTCTCAGTACACTTAACTAGAACACTTTGTGTGTAACTCAGAACTTAACTAGAACACTTTGTGTGTATGTAAACTATGTCTCAGGTACACTTAACTAGAACACTTTGTGTGTATGTAAACTATGTCTCAGGTACACTAACTAGAACACTTTGTGTGTATGTAAACTATGTCTCAGGTACACTTAACTAGAACACTTTGTGTGTATGTAAACTATGTCTGTAACTAGAACACTTTGTGTGTATGTAAACTATTAACTAGAACACTTTGTGTGTATGTAAACTATGTCTCAGGCACACTTAACTAGAACACTTTGTGTGTATGTAAACTATGTCTCAGGCACACTAACTAGAACACTTTGTGTGTATGTAAACTATGTCTCAGGCACACTTAACTAGAACACTTTGTGTGTATGTAAACTATGTCTCAGGTACACTGTTGTATGTAAACTATGTCTCAGGTTACACTTAACACTTAACTAGAACACTTTGTGTGTATGTAAACTATGTCTCAGGCACACTTAACTAGAACACTTTGTGTGTATGTAAACTATGTCTCAGGCACACTTAACTAGAACACTTTGTGTGTATGTAAACTATGTCTCAGGCACACTTAACTAGAACACTTTGTGTGTATGTAAACTATGTCTCAGGCACACTTAACTAGTAAACTACTTTGAACACTTTGTGTGTATGTAAACTATGTCTCAGGCACACTTAACTAGAACACTTTGTGTGTATGTAAACTATGTCTCAGGTACACTTAACTAGAACACTTTGTGTGTATGTAAACTATGTCTCAGGTACACTTAACTAGAACACTTTGTGTGTATGTAAACTATGTCTCAGGTACACTTAACTAGAACACTTTGTGTGTATGTAAACTATGTCTCAGGTACACTTAACTAGAACACTTTGTGTGTATGTAAACTATGTCTCAGGTACACTTAACTAGAACACTTTGTATGTGTATGTAAACTAGAACATGTCTCATGTCTCAGGTACACTAACTAGAACACTTTGTGTGTATGTAAACTATGTCTCAGG